CTCTGGGATGTCAGGGCAGTTCAGTCTGTCCCTCACACGTCCCAGGCCCTGGCTGTGCTGCAGGGATGCTGCGGGTCGGACATTCGCTCTGGCGGTTCCCACATGCCCTCAGGCTCTAGGTGGCAGGATCCTTCTTCCCAGCGTTGCCCCCGCCTCATGGGGGTTATGATCCCCCCCAAGTCTGGCCCGCTAGGTGTCTTGGCCGGGGGCGTCTCCCTGCGCTGGGCCCGCTGCCCAGGGTCCCCCTCGCTCTCCCCAGCTGCTCCCCGCACCTGGCTCCGGACTGCTTCAGCTCCACTCTGCCCCAGCGCTGCTGCTGCTCTGCCTCCAGCTCCCTGGCCCGCTTCTCTGGCCGGCAGGGCCCTGCTCCCAGCTCAGCTCGGGCTCCTGCTCGCTTCTTAGCTCGGCCTCACGCTGTCTGAGCCTGTCAATCTGCCCGTCCTGTCCATCAGGCTGACCTGGAGCGTTGGCCTCTCCCCATTGCTCCTGGCGACTGTCAGTCTCAGGGTCCTGATTTCCCATCGACCCTTCCCCTTGGTGCTGGGAGCTAGCCACCAACCCCCCCCCCCCGCTGAGTTTTAGTAAGGGGCCAACAGTCCACTGTCCCTGCCGGCTGGGAGCGCCGAGCCTGCCTGGCCCTGGCTTACCGAAGGGCCTTCAAAGCAGGGGTGACAGCCACTTGCAAGTCCCACCCTTCCCCCCGTCGACAGAGGGGTAACTCCGGGGCCAGGGAAAGGTGACTGCGCCCGAGGCCAGTGCATCCTGCAGTTCTCTGTCCCCTGGGGCTCCTGCAGGAAGGCGGAGTAAACGGCACATGCCTCCAGCAGGATTCTGATCACCTAACCCAGGCCCTCTCCAGTTGGGAGCGGGGCCCAGGTGCATCGAGGCAGAGGTAAGTTGCCCTGTGCTTTTGCTTGGGTGGGTAGAGAGGGGTGCGAGGGATTCTTCCAGACCCCGGCAGGCACCTAGCTTCCACAGGACGCAGCCCTGGTATTTGTCTCCAGCAGGGTCACCACCTTTTCGGGGTGGAGGGGATGAAGGCTGCCACCCCGCACGGGGGAGGGGCATTTCTCCAGGAGTAGGTTGGTTTCCGTGCCCCAGACAGTTCTTGCTCGGCCGGTAAGCACTGAATGGCCTGTCTGCTAAAGCAACCCCTTTCCCACGGGATCTGAGCAGCTCCCCCCAAGAGGTACTGGGAGAGGCGACATCCCTGACTTGCACCCTAATCCCCCAGCCTTCCCAGACACGGTCGTCGCTCCTGGGCCGGGCCTGGCGTGTATTTACAGCCATTACGGACCACGGGTTTGCTTTCTGCGAGGAAGGAAACAAACCTGCTTTCATTGCCCAGTAACCCCAAGCGATGCAGAGAAGAGCCTCCTTTTTAGCAAGGCTGTGTCCCCCCTTGCTTAAGGCAGTGAGCCCTGGTGAAGGGGGGATCTCACATGATCAGGGCTTATGACTTGCATTTTTCTTAAATTTAGAACCCGCTGAACTTCCCACTCACTTCTTCAGAGCCGTTTCTTTGCAGGAGAAGAGAGTCCGCTGCCCCTTGATGAGACTTGTGCTGCTGTTCCTCTGGGGTTAATTAATATGGATGTTTGGCACCAAATCTGCTGCTGCTCCTGTGAACAAGAAGAGCCAGAGAACAATCCGCTCCTCAGGTATTTATTAATGTCGTTAGCGTCGTAAGATTGGAGTCCTGTTGCGCTAGGCGCTGCACGGAGTGAGAGACAGTCCCTTCTCTGTAGAATTGGATGCAAAAGAAAGCATTATTCGCCTCCTTTTAAAGGTGGGGAAACTGAGGCACAGAGCCAGGACACGACACGCGGTATGTGTGGCTGAGTCCCGGTTCAGCGCTTTAAACCACGTCCTTCCTTCCCCTCTGTTCTACATCAGACTGAATTCCGTGTTTGTGTCCAGTGTTCTGGTAGCAGCCCCGTGAAGCAAAATCCTTTGTCTTCACAGCATGGTGAATCAACTACAGTCCACCCTTAACCCCAGTGCGGGGGGCTCTTGAAAATCCCGAATTGCTTTTCACAAGAGCAGAGAACTTTAGCCCAAGTTTTCTGGCTGATTACATTCTGCTTCACTTCCTACCGTCTCCCGTCCCACGCTTGGGTAAGGCGTTCTCTCCCGCATGCCTGTGCTAAACTGCTTGGAACAGCATCCCCGCATGCTGGTCAGCCGCCGCCATGTTCCGCAGCGGGGCCAGCTGCATTTCTGCGCCGTGAACCCAGCACCGAGCGTGTGTCAGGGGCACTCAGAGCCCTGGGAGAAGCAAGACATGGCAGCCGCGCAGGCGTTCATACAAGGATGGAGAAAGACGCGCTCATGGCTGCAGGGCAGACGCCTCTGAACCCTGCTTCCAAATCTCCTTTGCTCCCCTTTCCTCTACAATGATGGGGGCTTCTTTGGTGGGGGGCTGATGGGCACAGAGAGGGGCTATCCAGCCAGGTCCTACAACCACCCACTTGGATCGGGATTTGCAGAGGGAGCGTTTCCACGGCTGGGATCTTTCTCCCCAGTCAATGTTCCTAGAGCCCCACTCACCCCTTGCCAGTGACTGCAAGATTCCTGCTGGCTCGTGGGCGCATGAGCTCCCTTTCCTGGTTACCTGCCAGGACCCTGCATTCTCCACCAGGCCGCATGAGTGTGTGTGTGGGGGGGGGGGCTGGGGGAGTCCTCTTCCCCTTCCCCTTCCCCTTCAGCCACTGGCTCTGGGCTACCACTGGAGGAGGATATTGGATGAGCAATTGTTACAACCTGCAACCGCAGCTCCTCAGCGCCCGTCTGGCTTCCCCCAGCCCCGTCCTGCAGTGAGGGGCTTGGGAAGGGAGGGGTCCATGACTGCTGTGTTGGGGCCACCCTAAGGTGCCTGGGCGAAGCTGCCCCACTGCCTTGTAAGGTGGCCCCATTTGCATGGCAGTGTCTGCTGCTGGTGCTGCCTGGGTGCCAGGCTGGGTGCATGCCCCGCGCTGTCTCACCCGCTCTCCTCCCGTTGCAGTGAGATGCTCCGGTACTTCGATCAGCTGGGGAAGCGCAAACAGGCCCAGGCCACCAACCTGTGGAACGAGCCCGCGGACGACACCCACATGGAGCGCGACGACGACCGCGAGCTCTACAACCTGCTGCAGAAACGGGCCAGGCTACGCCAGGGCTCGGAGGTCGGTGCCCCCGGCCCACGCGGGCCCCTGGGACTCACGGAGGGCCCCACTGTGCATGACGAACCGCAGGGAGCTTTCTTCTTCCCTGGGGTTGGAGACGTAGGGCTCCGAACGGGGCCCCAGGATGCTATGCCAAGCTCTGCCACTGACCGGTGCTGTGACCTTTGGCAAGTCCTTGCCTCAGTTTCTCCTCCCAGCCTGTCTGCTTAGCCTGGGAGCTCTTCTGGGCTGGAACTGGCGGCGTTTGGGCACACAACAGGGCCCTGCTCTCACTTAGCACTTCTGGGTGCTACTGGAACATAACTCTCTTACAGGAAGGGGATGAGCGAATGGCTGTGTAAGACCAATGGGAGGCCTAGCTGGGCTGGATGGGATCTCACCCTGGCTGGCACATCTACCAGGCACTGAAATGCTCTGCCCTGCTCTAGGCTGCTCTGATCCTGGGCTCTCAGAGCCTTCACAACGGATCTCCACTGTATCAGTGGGGAAACTAAGGCGCAGTGGAGTAAGAGCTGTTATTAGAATCCAGGACAGCTGCCTCCCAGCCCCCACTCCCCCAAACCACTGGACCCCACTCCCCTCCCAAAGCCAAGAATAGAACCCAGGAGTCCTTGCTCCCGGTCCCCAAAGCAGCACTATCCTGTGAAACTCCCAGTCAGTCTCCAAGGCCGGGCTGGGAGCATGGCTGTGGGCCAATCCGTGGCGCAGGTGCACGGCAGCCATGACTGGATAGAGAAGGGAAGGGGGGGGAAGCTGGTGCCTTGTGGTTTCCGGGGTCTGACCCCCCCAGTCTCTCTCCCGTAGGGCTACCGACGCCTGAGCTTCGACATCAGCGCCCACCGCCAAATCCGCCGTGAGGTGAAGGACCGATGGAGGCAGATCCTAGAGGTCCTGGGTACGGCGCCCGCTTCAGTGCTGGCGGAGAGGGGTGCGGGGTGGGCGGCAGGCTTTGCCCGCTGCGCCTGGCCCTGCTTTGCAGCCTTAGCCAGGGCTGAGGGGCTGGGCTGGGCCCTCTCACCGGGAGGCAGTGCAGCCGAGGGGCTTGCTCATGGGACGCAGGGCCCAGCATGTGCCATCGGACCCAGAGAGCAGGCCTGACCCTGCCTCTCCTGCGTGCCGGAGTCTCTGAGCCTCACCCACATCTGGGGGGAGCATTAACAAGCCCAGGGCAATGACGCCAGCCCCTCCGAACAGACTTCTGACCTGGGGCTGGAGGAGTAACTCCTCTGGCGCCTGGTAGCAGTAATAGGTTCTTATCCCCTCGAAGAGACAGGCACCACGCAGCTCTAGCGAGGGCGAGCGTGGAGCTGGGGCGCGGGCTCAAAGGCCTCTCTCCTCCCACCCCTGGGCAGGGTTCAGCACCGAGGCAGACGGCTTGCTCGACATCACCTCCACGGCCTCCTACAGCTCCCTGCGCCAGCCCCTGCAGGCCCGCCAGCTCCTCACCGCCCTGGCCGAGCAGACCAGCCTCTTCGACCGCCACTGCAGCCTCCCCGAGCGATACCTCTTCGTCCTGGTGTGTGGGGCGGGGGGGCAGCTGGCGGGGCCCCCTTCTTCCCTGTGTCTGCAATCTCTCTGTGGGGTGTAGAGTTTGCAGCTGCAATGAGAGATGATGAGTAATTGCTGCTTCCCCCACAGGGGGATGTGGGTCCCTCCCTCTAGCCATAGCCCCTTGCTTGCCCCTGACCTTGTGCCCCTCCCCATCCCAGCCTGGCTGTCTCTCCCCCTCCCCAGGACCGGCTGCTCATCCTGGATGCCGGGGATGACTTCCTCTCCGCTGCCCGCTGCTACTACCCCCTGGAGGCCGAGGAGGGGCCCCCCAGCGAGGAGGAGCCCCCCAGCCAGGAGGCCGTGCTGGTGACGCTGAGCCCGGCACCCCAAGGCGGGGAAGAGGAGGAGGAAGAGGAGGAGGCCGCAGTGATGGATGAAGAGTCCCTGTTGGTCAAGCTGATAGAGTGAGGCCTGCCCTCGGGGGCAGTCAGGTTAGGCCGAGAGCTGCCCCCAGCGTGTCCTGCTGCTGCTGGCGGGGGGCACAGTGCTGAGCAGGGGGTCACAGCCCCCCTCATGGCACCATGGCCTGTTGGCAGCCCGAATCTGCTGTGTGCCCCCTCTGCTGCCCTCTTACCCACCTGCAGAACCCCCTCCCCTCCCGCTGCCTGGCCTCCCCAGAACCCTACACTTCTCCAGCTGGGCTTGGGGCCACCGGGCCCTTCCCGTATTGCTAAGGGGGGGGTGGGAGCTGCCGGCCTGTTGGGAATAAGGGTCCGGTGGTGCCTGTCGTATGGAACAGGGTGGGATGTGCCCGCTCAGCCAGCTCTAGGCAAAGGGGTCGCTCCAATCTGCTGTCCCCACTCCCATGCAGCCACCTCTGGGGTGGAACGTAGCAGCTGCTTACTAGCAATGCTACTCAACCGGTTAGCGGGGAGCCCTAGACCACTTCCATCACTTGCAAACCATTAGGCTTTTCTACGGGCGTTGGCCCTGGGCTGCAGTGATTCATACTGGGCTAACTGGGAGCTGGGTTGGAGACTTACAGCGGGACGGGTCCTTGCAGGTCGGGCGGTTGCTGTTCATCCTTTCCTGGACTGGCTAGTGCTGTGTGACTGTTCCCTGCCAAAGCCAGTTAGTGGGTGTGGGCAGGGAGGTCACGCCCCCGGTGGCTCCCTTCCAAGTGTATCGACAATGGCACGAACGGGGGGGGGGGGGGGTGCTGTCATTCTAGCGTAATGAACGTCAATCAAAGAGGCAGGGTTTGCACGGGCCCCCCAACTCTTTTATCATCGACTTCCCTGCAGTAGGTTTCTGCCTCAATTTCTCAGCATGGTTCAGAGCAATGATGTGGCTTTTCTGACACCAACCCAATCCCCCACTCCCTGCCACAACCCGTCTTCCTCCCCTCCCCCACCCCCCCCCAACCCCTGTGCCCCAGCCCTGGACTCCAGCCCCCCACCCTGCTATTCCAGTCCTGAGCCGTGCAGCATTGCAGCACACCTCACAACCCTGAGCTGCAGCCGTCCACCTGTTTGTTTATTTCAGGCACCTGGTGTGTGTTTGTGTGTGTACGTACAGTGCCTGGCCTTGGGGGGGGGAGGCTGAGACTGTGTGTATGGGTTAGGGTGACCAGACAGAAAATGTGAAAAATCGGGATGGGGGTGGGGGGTAATAGGAGCCTATATAAGAAAAAGACCCAAAAATCGGGACTGTCCCAATAAAATCGGGACATCTGGTCACCCTAGTGTGTGTGTATGTATAGTGCCTGGCATGGGCAGGAGGGGGCCTGAAACGGGGTGGGTGTGTGTGTGTGTGTGTGTGTGTGTGTGTGCGTGTGCGTGCCCGCGCGTGTGTGCATACAGTGCCTGGCACAGGAGGGAGGGACCTGATCCCTGACCAGTGCCTCTGGCCCTTACCCCGATGCTAACTAATGACGCAGTAGAGCCGGGGATGAAGACGGTGCCGTTCCCCTTCCCCTGCAGCCCAGCACGTGGCAGCAGAGGGGCGGCTGTGGCTGGCGCTGCTGCTGCAGGGTTGGCTCATGTGTCACCCCCAAGCTGGGGGATTTAGGAGGCGTCTATCTTTGTGCTAGTTGAAAGCACACACACACCCCGGCTTTGGCAGCGGGCCACGAGAAGCAGTTAACAAGTCTCTGATTATGTTGTTTACCCGACCCCTCGCTGTCCATCTTCCTCCCTTTGCTGCCCGTGCACCCAGGCCAGGCTGCAGCCGGGGGCTGGGTGCTCCCTGGAGCTTTGCGCGGGGAGCCAGCAGCAGTGGGGGGGTGTGAAGAGCCCCCGGGGGTGGGGAAGAGAAGTAGGGCCAGATTGCCTTCGAGGGCTCGTCTATTTCAGCGGCAGGGAGTGGGCGCTGGCAGCCAGCTGGCCAGTCCAAAGGGCAAGCACGCAGTGTCCCCGGGCTGGGGAAAGGTCAGCCACGCTCTATGCGCCAGGCTGGGATTAGAGGCCGCCTCGCAGGGCCGGAGTCCAGCCTCCGGGGCGCAAAGGGACAGGGGGAGCTTTGCTGCCTGGCGGGGCACCTGTGGCCTCAAGAGGAGAGGAGTGAGGCAGAGGCCAGGATCAGGACAGGCCATCTCCCCCCCCCCCTCGGCAAAGAGGGGCTCCCTGATCTTAGGTGTAATGGTGTAACTTCTGCCCCGACCCCCGTGCTCCTGCCCCTTTCCCCAGCCCAGAGTCGACGTGACTCTGTATGACCGGGTCAAGCAGCCCTAAAAGGGCTGGGAAGGTGCATTAGTGGGGAGGCGTCTCCTGCGGGGGAATGGGTGTTACATGCAGAAGGGGCTCTTACAACCCCTTGACTGGGCACAGGGATTACAGCTCCAGCTTCCGGAGTCATGGGCTGAGAGTTTGGCTTTAAAAAAAAATAAAAAAGAAAGAAAACATATTGCTAGTCCTCAAGGATGTAAAGAACAAGTTTGAAAATGTGACCTGGAGTGAGGGGTGTCACCACTGCCTGCCTGAGTCTACAGAGAGCCTAAAACAACAGCGCCAAGAGGGGTGAAATTGGCCTATTCATCTTAACGCTGACAGCTGCCGTCACCCCATGGAGGGGTAGGGCCGTGGCCTGCAGGTGGGACTATGGGGCACAAGGTGGGTTGAGTCTAGTGCCCCATATTGCCTTGGTTCGCCTAGGGTGGCTGTTGGGCTGTCAGTACTCACAGCCGTGGCCCCTGGGCTGTGGGGGTGGGGTGGATGGGGCCGGAGCCACTGCTCTGCGGTAGCGCTTAGCCCGCGGCAATGGCAGCCATGTGGCTCTCCACGCCCCTGGAGCTCAAGACATTGGCGTCTTTGCCAGTGTTGTACCCATGGGCTACTGCAGCTGTTGGCACTCAGCACCCAGGGGTCATGACGCCGGGGCGGCGGGGGTAGGGATCAGGGTCCTGCTTTCCAGGTGCTAACAGGCTGCTGTCTGCTTAGTCACATCGGGGGGGGGGGGTGCACAGCTGAGACACCCCCCACCCGCCATGCGATGACTTAGAGAGGCCCAGCAGCCAGCGCTACCAGGCCTTCAGGCAGGGCACGGAGCTCTTCTATCCTGGGAGTGGGGAAATCAGCCGGTGGTCCAAGCCCGCGGTGCATTGCGACGGGGCTCCGCGGATGCTGTAAGCAAACCGGCGACAGCTGCTCTGCCCTGTCCCCCCTTTCCCAAGCTCCCCCTACTGCACCCCCGCATGGACAGCCCTTGCGCCCCCCCTGCTCTGGGTTAGCTGTTTGAGCCCACAGTGCCACGGTTCAACTGTGACTGCGAGGGGAGGACTGAACCCCCCCCCCCACTAATCACATAGGCCTCTGTGTTGGTAGGGGGTCAGGAATGCAGCTGGGCCTGGGGCAGAGCGCACAGCGATAAGCTGTGTCCCAGGGCACTGCCAAGCCAGAGTCCTCGCTGTTTCGGGCAGCACCGGGGCCAGCTGCTCCCAGGGTCAGGTGCGGTTGTTAAGCGAGTGCCAGGCATTCCTAGCTAATCCCTGGGTTTTGATGGGCCCCTCCCCGGGGCAGCCGAGGGTCAGGCTGCTGGGAAGGAGGCCAACTCCATTCACCCACCTCGCTGGAGTGTGGGGGCCCAACAGGCCTGCAGCTAAGCGAGGAACGGGCCGGACTGTATGACAAGAGGAACAGTTGTGGATGCCCTCAGAAGTTCATATGTACTTCGTGAAAAACGCAGTGTCGGTCAGAACCCTTGTTTTTAACTTTATTTTTATGCAATTAAAAAATGAAGCCCTATTTATGTGTTTGCTCCGTCTAAGAATATTCAAGCATTCAAAACATTCAGAGTCAGAAACGTAAAAGTCTAGAGCATAACGTGAAAGTGTTGTGTAATGCCCAAACTGGTCATAAACTAACGTTGATGCCTTCCTGGCGATGGTGTCTGAATGCTGCCACAAAGACAACCCGGGTCAGTTTTGAAGTCAAATCACTTTCCTGTGACAGGGGAATTAGGTTTCTCTCTGTCCTGGGTCGTGCTTGTCCTTTGATGTGATAATCTTCTCAAACAAGCGAAGGAATTCTCACACCTTGCAGACGCTGCTCCAAACAAGACTACTGCAGACATTTCAGAACTACATATGAACGAACGCCTCCTTTCATTCCTTGGCAGCCCCTAGAACGTCTTCATATTCTTTGCACTGTCTCTTCCCTAGCAGTGCTTCCAATCAGTGGCGTAGCGAGGAAATTTGGGTGGGCATTTTGGGTGGCTGGGCAATGACAGACGGTGCCAGCTCAGCTTCTCCCCTGACACCGCTCCCTGTCCCTAGCCCCGGTGCCCCCAGACACAGGTTTCACCTGCTGAGCTGGGCACACGCATGGGGCGGCTCAGAACATGGCAAGGCAGAGCTGCCGGCGATTAGCTTTCTGGAGGGTGGGTGCAGAGCTCCGTCCTGGATGTCAGATGCTCCGGGTCGCTGTGGCAGCACCACACCCCTGCTCAGATTTGGGTGGCCTGGATGCTAAGCGGGTGGGCCGTGGCTACGCCCCTGCTTTAAGCACAACCATTTCCATTTTCACCTGCTCAATCTCTAATCCAAGCAAGTCAGTCCAAGCACACAGAGATTCCAATCTCAAGAAGTCTGGAGTGCCGGTGGAGTAGAATACATTGCCGAGAAGGTTTTGTGTGAGGGCGTTCTCAGACAATCTCCTTTGCAATTCACCCCTGTGTTCATCAATCAGTTCATGGGGCATCTGGCGCTACTGAGGCTCACCGATGCTTTGACATCCTGGTAAGTGCTCAGCGCCTATGAAATCTTAGCCCTTTTGGTGGCACATTTTAATGCTGTTGCCTCATCACGTTCACCTGTCAAAACAGGGTGCATGGATGAAATCGCTGAGGAAAAACTCACGCTTGTTGAAGTGCTTCATGGGCAAGGGTGATCAATTCAACTCCTTTCTCAAGGTGCGTTTGTTCCTTTCAAAGGTCATTGTGCACAGGAGCAAACTCTCAAAACCATTCTTTTAAGCTCAGCTCAGCACAAGCATTTGGATGATTCTGAAACATCCAACAGCCCTCTTGCTTCAATGGACCAGTCGCCAGATCCATCCACAAAGTTTGACAGAATACTCTGAATTGCTTCTTTTAGAAATCATAGAATATCAGGGTTGGAAGGGGCCTCAGGAGGTCATCTAGTCCAACCCCCCCTGCTCAAAGCAGGACTAATCCCCAGACAGAGTTTTACCCCAGTACCCTAAACAGCCCTCTCAAGGATTGACTGGGGTGAAGGAAAGCAAAGCCATGTCGAAACAGGGCGCCCCAGCCCGCAGTCTCTGGGCGAGGTGGTACGCCCAGCCCTGGCGCCCAGCACTCCAGGAGCCCCCTGGGACTCTGCAGTAGCATGGCAGTCACAGGACAGGCAGCTAAGGTTTGGTCTGGGCTCCAGGGGAGTGTTTCCGTTCCCGTCGGCCCCTGCGCGCCCCAGGAGCAGCGTCCTCCTCGCTCTGTGGCCAGAGGGAACACTCCCTGCTCCCCTCCGTGCCAGCGGGCAGGGGCTGCTCACAGCACAGAGCCCGGAGTCCCCACTTGGCTGCTTCACCAGCCGCCCGCTTCCCAGGGTCGCACCTCTCTGGAGCTGCAGCGTCCTGCGGCCACCACGCGTCACTTGCTGAAACTGTGACAGCTCCGTGGGCCTTAGGCCTGCAATCACTCACCTGAGCAAACTTGGAGTCAGAAAACAGGGAGGGATGATTTCCAGGGGGGCAGTGCCCCCCCCCCCCCAGCTATGGGCTTTGTTAATCTCGGCTTGGAGCATTGTCTCTCTCTCTCTCTCTCTCTCGCGCGCACACACACACACACACACACACACACACAGAGCATGACTGTGCAGCATGCGCACACACACACAGTGCCAGCAACACCTCCCAAAATAGCACTGGGACGGCTATTTAAACCCTGGCCCCGGCCCCGGCCAGGCGGCCAAATACCCAGGGCTCACACACACACACAACTGGGCTCTCACACACACACCCACAGCCGGGCTCTCAC